AGGAGTCAACGCTTCCTTATATGAGGAATTGTGTTTGCAGGGATTATTGCACGTCAGGAATTTGACGGTTTATAGTTACTATTTTTTTAAATGTTAGTCATAAGTGTTAATTTTCAAATGTTTTCCATTTTATGTTATAGTTTAATTACGAAAATACTCGTTAAATCCACCTACATATTTTCTTTATGTCATTGGACACTTTACTCGATTTTTAGTTCCACGTGGATTTTGAAAATCGCGTAAATAAATATTTAGAATTTTGACTTCATTTTAAAAATGATATTTTTTCGGAAATTTTTTGTCGATATTTTCTTATACAAAGTTTTCCAATATTCGATGCATCATTTCGATAAATGTTGTGGTAATTTGAAAGCTTGTTGAATGTTTGGATCAATGTCTATAATTGTACTTTCCATTTTTTGGTTAATTCAAGAGCTTTACAAAGATTTTATGCAGTGAATTGATGCTTTTTTATGCAAGTATAATGAAGAGTGTTCACGAAAAAAATGGGGCACGTTCATTATTTATACTTTCCGTACTCGTAAATTCGCGTATAAAACTTACCGCGTAAATATAGTTATAATTTACGTGTGAAAATAGTATCGCGTAATGACTTGCAGATGAAACTAAAAAAAACTTGATACTTTTATATATAAAATTTCGAAAAAAAAAGAGTTAATTAAAAGTAAATTAATTTTGGTTATAAAATTGATTATAGACATCAAGTAAATCCACTTTTAATACATCTTATTTTGATTTACAGCCTTAACTATTGGACAACTAAAAAAATAATCTAAGAAAATAAATTATCAATTATTACGACCTGAAGAAGAAATTTAAAAAAAAATTTTTTTTTAATATAATATTCTGCAATTATCAAATTTGTATTTTTAATAAAATATTTAATTAATACTCAATTAATTTTGGCTATAAAAGTAAGTTTAAGTAGTTGAATATTGGACAACTAAAAAGAGAATCTAAGAATATAAATTCATAATTTAATATAATTAACAAAAATTTTCGTAATTATTGATTTTTATCATTAATTACTTTAATCTCAGATGACAATGAAGAAAAAACTGAAAACAAGTTCTTCATTATAAAATTCGGTAATTACTAAATTTATATTTTTAATAAAATATCTAATTAAAAGTCAATTAATTTTGGATATAAAAGTAGGTTTAAGTAGTTGAATATTGGACAACTAAAAGGAGTATCTAAGAAAATAAATTCACAGTTTAATATAATTATTGAAAACTTTTAAAATTACTGATTTTTGTTATTAACCGCTTAACTTTTAAGTTAATCAGTTCTAATTATTTACCTAAATCAAGTCCTCCTTTTACATCAGTTAAATTAAAACTGCAAATTTCTTTTTATGTAATCTTTACAGTTTAAAGTCTCTTTCCGAAATAGTTCTTAATCTCTTAACGCCAAGCATATCATATTTGACACATACGATTTCTACAACATAATGCGAGACAGAACAATATTTTCGAGCAATGGTCAAGTGTATCATATTTAGTTCATTCCTGTTTTAAAATATACACTTTCAGTATAACTAGAAGAGTTAAAATGCAAGTTTTGTATGACACAAATTAAATTTTTATGAATTAATTCCGAGGTTAAAAGGTTAAGTTAATTAAGATGCATTATATAAAAACAGCGTTATTTGTCTGTCGCAAATTTTGTTCTCCGTTATATGGATAGCGCATTGTAAGAGTAATTCGTTACGGGAGGTTTTACTGTAATTTAATTTCTCTCTATAAAAATGATGAAACCCGGCGCAACCACATCAAATAAAAAAATACATTGATTGGAAACGGTGTACGGAATTGGAGCACTCTGTATGTGCGTCGAGCGGGTGACGGCTGGTGGGAGTTTAAGATACATTTTAAGGGTTTTGGTCCTCCTTCAAGACCTTCGAGTTCTCTCGCTCGCTCTTGCATACACATATACACACACACGCCTCTCTTTGCCGATGCGACAGGAAATTCTATTACCTTCCTTAGATACACAAAGGGGCGGGTTAGCTTCCCCTGCGGCCTCCTCCAATACTCCTATCCTCATTTCCCTCTTCCTCCACCTACCCACACACAAATTCACCTCCTCTGTATCGCTATATACATAAACGTACATAATTCAGACACACACTTCGTCCTTTAAATATTTATCTCATCCGCGATCCAATTAAACTTTAATCGGATTCTATGCACGCCCGATATATTATGCAGGAGAAATATTTAGCGAACATTTTGCAGCTATAATCACATTGATGGAAAGATGCGCTGCTCGGAAAGCAATTCGTCGATCACCTGTGTGAAGGGAGTATAGGTCACGTATCCTATTTCCATGGAAATGAATTAAAGTCGCATTTACTTTTTCGTACGTGAATCAAAGATCTCTTTCGTTTACCAGAGAGTAATCTACTTTTCACGATTCTAAACACACCAATTTCGATATATTCTGAATGTGATGTGGTTCGCATCTTTCAACGTCAACTTGAGATGATTTATTAACATGACCTCTTTTTTTTTGCTCGAGAATAATAAAAAAAACCTTTTGCGCGTGCAATTTTTTCACTCGCAAACAATTTTTTTGCTTAAATTTGATTAAAAATAATTTAGTCAAACCATTTTTCTTGTTGGTATTCTTCAATTGAAACTACAAAAACAAAATACTTTGTTAAGGGCGGAAAGACTAAAGTGGACAGTTCTTCAATAAGATGTATTTATACATATATGATCTAAAATACTGGTTTTTTTAGATAAAAATATGTTTTTATAATTTATGTATTTTTTTGCAGATAACTGCAACGTTTCTTTAAAGTACACTTTTTAACAATTTTTAAAATAACCCGGTTTTGAGTAGCACGGGATCATTTGTTTATATTATTCAAGGGTTGACTGTATTTAACTAATTATTGTATAATTTCGTAGAAAGTAAATCAAATAAAAGTAAATATTATATATTTTTAATCGATAACTCATTTAATTAATGATAAAATTGAATAGATTGAAACAAAAGTACATTTAAAAAAAATTCTTTAGTTCATCGACAAAAATTGAATTGAGTGTGCAATTTAATTTCGTAATTACAAATATATACGAACAACATTCAAATAACACGGTATTTGAGTTACACAAAGTCTTAAAATGGTAAACGTGAACCTTTTCACAATTCTTAATAATGTTACTATTCACCTTTGAGCAAAATATTTTATAGTTAGGAACGATTTTTAAAATACAAAATCTCGAACAAAATGTTTATTTATATATGGAGTTTTGAACAACATGGTTTTGTTAAGCTCTGAACCAATTCTTGACTGAATTGTATAGAATAGTCTATAATTATTTTCAATTAATTATAAGAACCAGATTTAAAGTAATAAAAAGTAAAATATAATTAATAACAAATTTCGAAAACATTTGCCTGTTTGTTGATGGTCAATAAGAAATGTTAAAAACAAAATTAAATGTATACATTTTGAACCAATTCTCCAGTTGCAATTTATCAGTTAAATCTATGAAACCCAGTTATTTTCTCTATTAAGTCTGTTAAATAGGTGCAATATTCGTATAACACGGTAGTTTAGTTATACGGAATCTTAAATAACAATATAAACATGCGACAATTTGATTTAAATCTGAATAATTAAGGAATATTTGTGGTGGTACGCGAATTTGACCATCTTTGAAATGAAAACTAATCAGAATTATTATAATATTCTACAAAATCTCCAGGAAAAAGGAATTACCATTTAGTTTGGTTGGTATGCCAAGGGATGAATTTGATAAGGCAAATGTTGATTCACTTGACGAAGTTGTCTGATTCAGTTGTCTGGCCCGACTTGGGTTTAGAAATTTCTTGCACTTCAAAGAGATGAAGGAACAACACCGATAATTTATGTTTAACCAATAATTTTAAAATTATTTTCAATATGTAATTTTCAAACCGTACTATAGTGAATCCGCACTATGTTCGAAGCCGCACTATGCGTGGAATTGCTATTTAACATTTCTATTGTTGGTATTCATCGGTTATATTCAGGACAGTTATTTTTTTCTTTTAAGATTGATAAATAGAATATTTACAATTTCATTTATTACTTAAATATATGTACAGACAACCCTACATAGTCACGTAACAATTGTATGGTTTAGTATACTTTTCCAGATTTCTTAATCTTAATCTTTTTACAATAAAAACTGAGACCCAATGTCCATTTATATATGGAGTTTCAAATACATACCGTGTTATTAAAAGCATGTAATCAATTATCCGTGTTATTTGAGTGTTGACTGTATTTTATATATTACATAGCATAAGAAATCATTTAGAATTGATAATTAATTTACTCAATAGATTGAAAACAAACATTCGATGAAAACAAAAAGTGAAAAGTAGTTAATATATATTGAAAATGTTAGTTTTACGATTTATTAAAGCGTTAGCAGTAAAATCACAAAAATCATATATAACAAGCAATTTTTAATTTAATTCTGCTGAAAATGAAATAAAATGTAAAAATATTAAACAAATTTATATTATTATTAGACAATTGAATACTCGAAGTTGTTTACTCTGTTATGAGTGATAAATCGAATATAGGTGGGTATATCGAGTATAATACATTCACGGCTGATTGAATCAATGAATGAAATTGAATGTTTGCTCGCGCTCTCGATGTCGAGACGGATCAAATCCGAAAACGAGGATAAAGCTAATAAAAGTACTTCTATGCCATCGAAATGGAAATGTAACCTTATATCATCATCATTCTCCCATTTCCCACTTCAAAAAAAAACCTCAACTTCTTACTGTTATTATTTAGTAAAGAAAAAAAACTTATTTATTATTCGCTTTATGTTTTTTTGTTATTCCAATTTTCCTGCACGCTTCTTGTGCGATTTTTTTTTGTCATGAAGGGTGGAAAATGCAATATAGCGACTCGGAGGAGCGCGTGCAGTGAAACATTTCCTGCGTGTGATTTAGTATAGTTCCTGTTTTTAGAGAACAGCTCGAGCGTTAGAGTACCCATCCCCTTCATCCTTTACCTTCCTTATTCATCTTGTGCTATTTTTTTCTTTTTCTACATAAGGAATGATGATGAAAGACGGCACGGCACAGATGTTGCAAACGTTCAACCCCCGAAAATTCATCAAGAAAAAAAAAATAGTATTTTTTTATATAATATACAAGATTTTATTTTCTAGGGGTTGATGTTTCTATATGATATTAAATCTTGGAGATACGTTTTGATTGTGGTTGATTTTAAACTAGATTCAGCAGTACATGAATTTTCACCATCGGCATTGCAGAGGAAACGCAATTGGATAGAAATAGTTCAAAGTAAATAATATGGATGCGCCCCAATTCCGCGATGGAAAATGTAAATTGATACGCATTGGAGCGGCGCCAGGAATGCGATTTGAATAACTTAATATTAATTTTCGCGGAAAATATATATATCTGTTTAGTGGAGACGAGAATTAATTTCCATTAAATACCCTGTCATCAAATAACGTGTTTCATTTAGTGTCGAACGGGATGGAGTTAATTGCAAACCGCATCGTGTTAAGTGTATTCCTTGATTAAGCGAGAAACGGATACTGACTATGTGCATTTCTCTTTGGTTTCAAAACAATTCACTTAATGATTGATTGATTTTTGGCCATGCCTCTCGCGCACATTAAATATGACTTAATGTATGCATTATAAACGAGAATTGAGCTTCCTTTGGTTTACATGTTACCTACCTCATTAAATCTGTTTTTTTTGTTCGTTTTTTTCCTTTTTTTCTCCTTTTGAAATTGGAGTGAGTTAGGGTAAATGATATGTACAAATAATGATGTATAAATGAAATTAAATGACCGCCTCGCTTTGCGTCTGCAGATTGATGATCTCACCCTCAGAGACGTTGCTGATGAGGCGGGGATCGAAGGAGGTCGCGCCCGTCGGTGGTAGGCGTAGGGTCGCCCCGGTCGTCACCAGGTGATTGTTCATGTGGATGTCGCTGGAGGCGTTGCTGTAGTTGACGTGATCGCGGCGCGGCCTCCACAGACGGACGCAGGTCAGCCGCGAGGCAAACTGGCAGCAAGATTGAAGGGTCTTCTTGAAAGCGGCCCTGAACTCGCGGTTGAAGTAGGCGTAGATCAACGGGTTCAGCGCCGAGTTGAAGTAGCCCACCCAGAAGACGAGAGTCACCACGGATGGTGGACTGTAGCAGTACGTTGTCCCGCACAACGTCGAAATCACGTACCTGAAATAATAAAGCAACGTATAATAAATTAATCAAATGTCATATCACTTAGAAACACTATAGTTTTATTTTCATAGTTTCGGAAGAGCCACGTAAACAATTTTGTCGCTAACAACTGAAGACACTGGAAGTATTTGTGAAGAAATATATTGTCGTGTCGTGTCCTATATGGAAAATCGAGTTGCTGTGGAATATCTTCTTCGGTTGTATGTTGTGTAGTCTTAGGTTTTGCAAATAAATAATCCAACGAGGTCTACTTGTGCTTTATTATTAAAATGTTCTTTAAAATATTTACTTTATTGTAGTTCTTCCCTCAGCGATACATCTAAGACTATGTAGTTGTTTATTTATTGTTCTTCGTATGAATAAATACAAATACTTATTCTACGTATAAAATTAATTAATAGTTTGAGGAGTAAGGCACGTTTTTTATAAGAAGCTCCGCTTCAGATGACTTTGTTGAATCTGCCAATTCTGCATTTTAGTTCCCAGGTTAAAAATCATAATTAGCAAATGTTTTACTATTCACAGAGTTTAGCAAACTTTGAAATAAATAGTAATCTAATGATGCAAAGTCAGGGCTATATGTAGAATGCGGAAATACTACCCAATCGTACTTCAATGAATTCCTACGAGTTACCAAATATTTTTGAGGATTTGTATTTTTCTTTTAGTGAAATACAATTTTGCAAATTCTTGCTATTTATCTTTGATTGCTTTCTCCAGTTCCATTAGATTTAGACAGTAAATATCTGAATTGATTGTTTGATTCCTTGGATGCAGCTCAAAATACACAACACCTTTGAAAGCATCATTGTTTTTGATGTAATTCAGCTTTGGATGTGGTTAGTGCTGTGTACTACTAATGTCTTCGTCTAAAATAAGTGACACAGCACGCAACAAGCATGATTTTATTTAAAAAAAAAATTACTTTTAACAAATGATTATAAAATGTTAATGTAAAAGCATCACAGGTTCAGATCTTGACGATCTGTCAAATGTCATAGGTTGCTAATAAGGATTATTGTGTTTATAGTAATTGTATTTATTGATTTTTTTTACTGCATTATTTGGAAATGTTTTTTTATAATTTATATTGTGACTTGCAAAAAGATCGTCCCGATTTTTTACGAAATTAAAACATTTATATATAGATATATAAATTTGTAATTATGTATACACCATTTTGATCTATACACTTTTATTCATCTTTCTCATAATTTAAACATCCCAGCCTCTCAGAATTTATAAGGTTTTTCGTCTAAAAACTTTTCCCGGTGATCTTTTTGTCGACTGAAAATTAAACGTTCTTGCGTTAATGGAATTTTGCAAAGACAAGAATAAGTGGAAATCGGAAGGTGTACTTTCTGGTGAATACTATAGGTGGAGTAATACAACTCAGTTTAACTCCAATAATATTTGTGGGGTATTAAAAGTAACATAAGGGCTGCCATTATTGTGGCTATTGTCAATTAAATTATACAGATTTCATATATCGTAACGATTTATGTAACCAAGCTTCAAGAACGCTCGTGAATGGTTGTTTTCGATACTTCTATAATCTCTGCTAATTCACTTGTCGTGTACTGCAGGTTATGATCGATTAATCTCTTGATTTCATCATTATTACTAGCAAACTAGCTTTAGTGGTAGATTTTAAGAAGTTGCTTTAGCTGCGTAAGTGATTTATTTAGATTAAAGCTTGTGATTTCAGTCATAAAAACAATGAATAATCCACCATCGATAATAATCAAATCGACAACCGGACAATAGAACATTGGAAAAAAAATGGAAATTCTAACAAAATATAAATAAAAAATGGAATGATCTTGAATATAAAATTTATTGAAAACATCTCATTCCTTTAAACAATAATTTGCATATGATTCGCTTCTTTAGTATAAGTTCATAATTTCATAATAATAGATAGATATATTCTTATTTGGGCGACTAATAGCCGAATGGTTAAGTAGCCCTACCGACGATTTCGTGGGCGCCGGTTCGAATCCTGGTGAGCCCTCTCGGTGCTTGCAGCAATAGGGCCATCGTTCATCACAGATGGACAGTATTCTTATTTGTTCGTTTTGTTATTATTTTACTTGTTATATTTTAGCGTAGTTTTATTTGTTCAATCTTTTATTGTTTTACTTGTTAATAAATTGAAACTACATTAGGAACTTATTATTAACAAATAAAAAATAAAAGTTATGTCATAAAATCATAATCGTATTTTTTTTAAAGAATCTGTCGTCCACTTGTCCAGTACATGATTAAATAAATGGAACACATATATATATATATTAGAATTTATTTATGTATAGAATGTACATTTTTTTCTTTTGTATTGATGTTTGGCCAATAAATTATTAAATTATTTATTTACATGAACATTAATTAAATAATAAAATTCAATGAACAAACTGAAACTGAAATATAATATTATATTGACAAGAAAAGTTATTTTAGTAGTGTTTCGGAGTATGTGATACCCCAACCGTATTTCAAGAGAGCTAACCACGAACTGAATCTCATCTAATAACTATATTCTCTTTATACATGTATAACCTGAAGCTACTGAAAGCTACAAGTCACTGGTGTTTATAATTTTTGTTTTAGAACATTAAATAGTGACGCTTGGGGTATGTGATGCCCCACAACACTAACACAGGGTTAATATCTGTAATGAAACACCTGAATTCATATTAATTTCATTTTGAGTTGAAAATTGTATTAAAATTTGAAGTAAATTTATGTTGATTAGTAACTGTAATTTAATTCTATTTGAGACAATAAAAAGGTCTAAATTATGTTTTTTTTTACTGGAGTAAAATAAACTTTTGTGTACAATTTCACAAATAAACGTCATGACATCGATATTTATTTTGATGACTTTTTACGTATTTACTTCCCTTTTTTTATTTTTACCCGTTATTGTTAACATATATAAATGTAGGTATTTTTATTGTTGAACATGTTTTAAACTTATTTTCTCTATATCAAAATCGTACGTTTCTATTCGAACATTGCACGCCAGCACGAACGAATTCTCACACAATAAAGAAGAGATTCAGGTAAATCTAGGACACATTTTTCTATAAACTTTATAAGAAGTTTCTATAACACACGTATGCATATTTTCCATAACGTTTACTAAATTTGATTATATGTATTATTAAATTTTCTTATTCAATTCTCACAAATAACAAAATGTAAATTGTTTTATCCTTAAAATATATTAAAATTCTTTAAACAAAATAAAGCACCTTTATTTATGTATTAATTTGAGATGTTAGCAGTTGTTATATTTTACATAATTATGTTGTACAATGTTTAATTTTGTTGTTTTTATTGTCTCTAATTTATGATTTAATTTCAGAAGTTTTTCAGGTTTAACTCATATTTGCAGCTTGTCTCTAATTTGAAATAAAGTCGATATATCTTTATAAATTTTGTTATCTTTTAGACCAGGGGTCGATGAACCGGAGTAATTTACCCCAAATTGGATAAAAGTGAATTATTGGGTGAAACGCGTAATGCCGACAAAAATGAATATATTTTGGGGTAATTGGTAAAATAAAATCTGCGACCCCTGCTTTAGGTCACAATATTTTCTTGTCTCCTGTAGTTTTCTTGAATTATTTGCTATGTTAAAGGTATCCGCATGTTCAAATACCGAATGATTATCATATAAAAAGGTTTTATTTCAAGCCCAAGTTGAATTGTAAGATTATTTATATTTATGTATTTAAGGATCTGGTTTTGATCACTAAATTTATAAAACGGTAGTAAATCCATAAGATTAAAATGAAATTATCCTTCAAATTTACAGTCTACCAATATTTTCAGAAAAACTAAGTTTCCTTTTGATAAAATTGAGTGATTCTTAAATTAAACATCTCAAACAGGAAATATTGTATTCAGAAAGGGCGATTACATTACGGTCTACTACTAATACGACCCTCGTCCCATCCTCATCCTTGCCGGAAACACTTGCAACGTGGACAACAAGCTGCTTACGTCCCACGACTTCCTTTCCTCCTCACTCACCTTTCTATCTAACAAGCATTCGTCGATGACAACCTCATGAACCGTCCTCTCGCACAGCCACATTCCTTCCAAACGTACAATTCAAATGCCCAGCAGCTCGTTAATCCTGGGCAAATTTACAATTTGATGCAATTTTGCGCTTGTAACTGCACTCGACAATGCTAACAAACTCATTAAATTCATAGAACAACATTGTTATTATCTGTCAACGTCAGAGGTGACAGCTAACGCAACAACTTTTTATAGATGAAATTCGCTAGTAATAATCAGAAATTATAGATGTAAAATTGATTTTTATTAACGATGCATTGAAACGTGAAATAACTGCTATTTTGCAAAACTTTGTTTTTAGAGGTATAAGATACAATGCCAAGGTTTTCTACCAACATGTTCTCCATTGATTAATAACTAACATCCTCTTTCGAAACCCATTGATTTAGCTACACTCCACTTAAGCATTTCTTCATGACTTCTTTCGAAGAACTATAAATGTTTTCGGATCACTGCGGATTTCGCTAAATCAAAACTTTGTTATCAAAGGTAATGTTATCCGGAATATGACTGTATTTTCTTTAGACATTAACTCCGATAAAGAAGCCAATAATATTGTTAAAGTAATAATTCAGAAGGAAACCTCTCTTGTTAATGAACAATTTGGGATATTCTACAGATATTAATACGTTAGACCAGCGGTTTTGAACTTGTGAGTTGCGGATACCTCCGCAACGCATCTCAATATGCGTTTTTTTAAAGGGTCACGAAATGACAGCTGTCACTGTCAAGAGGAAGTAAAGAAATCCGTGTGGAAAAATATATCAAAATCAAAATATTAAAAAAAAAAAAATATGAATTAAAACCGAAAATTAAGAATTTCGAAAAATTACAATTACTTGCGAAATCAACATATAAATAAGTTTTAACTACTTTTTGCAAACACTGTTCAGAAATAATATTATTTATAGGATTAAAATAAGGGAAAATATTAATGTTACGACAAAATTAAGTAAACTAGCAGCATATTTCACACCACAAAAGATTATATTTTTCACTACAGATTTCCTGTCATTACTAAAGTTCTAGGGTTGCTTAGTCTCGACATTTTACGTTGCACGAAATGAAAAAATAAACAATTTTTTAACAAAAATAAAAATAATTATAAAAAATGGTAATATGACAAATAGTAAACTAAATACTTATTATAATATACATATTGAAAATTGTATATAAAAGATCCTGGAAAAAATCGTTTCATTAAACAGCAAATTAAATCATGTCTGATTTTTAAAATCTGATTAATATTTTCTCCGCATTTATAAGTTTTTGGATTATGAATATAGATATTTAAATAAAGTTATAATTCGTTTATCCCTTTGTTGTCCAAGTCTATCTCATAATGCATATCTCTTCTAAGATAATAATTAACTTTGTACTGTTATTTGTTTTTTAAATGTTTCCATTGTGTCATTTTTGTCTACTTAATAAGTAAATTAATTAAGCAATGAACTTAAAATACTTAAATAGTACTTACGATTAACATTGAATTTAACAAACAAATTAATTATTGTCAAATGTAGATTGTATAATTCGATCTTATTGCCCGTGAATAAATTCAATTAATACTAAATTCAGACAACCCAGAAGGCTGCGCTCTATTGTTTGTATTATGTCATTTTTTTTTACAGCAAACACAAAATATATTAGTCAAGGGAGACGCTTGTTATACTTATATTTAATAAAAATTTAAAAAAAACAGAAGATAATTAATATATTCAAAGTCAATTTTGAAATTTCTCGCGTCTCGAACGGCAATTTCCAGGTATCGAAACTATATTTTTCCAAATGTCCCGGGAATTCCCGGTTTAGAAACCCTAGTACGTTCTATTTTGACGTGCCACTTCAGATTAAGAGAAATATCAATCAATATTCTTTGTCGTTCCAATATATTTCTTGGTGTTAATTTACTTGTTTTTGTCGCAACGTGAAATGCAACCCCTATAATAATCTTTTAAATTAACGTTCGAAAATACAGTTTATTTTTAATTTCTAGTTTTCCGGGAATTCTGAGAAACAACAAATAATATTAATATATATATATTAAAGAGAATTGAAAAACATAGTTATTGAATTTCTGTATTTATGACGCTTATCAATTTATTTGTAAATTTTTAAACATTTCATTTTTTATTTTCTTTAATTTATTTCATTACTAATATACGCTATATACTAAATTGACCAAATACAGAAATATTAAGTATATATTGTAATAAGAATGAATGTTGAAATTAGAATAAGCAGCTATTATTTTTTTATTATACTTTATACAATTTTTATTTTTTAATTTATTTTTGTAATGAATATTATTATTAAATTGCATATTTTCCAATAATCGAATTACTTTGTCAAAATTTTGCACACAATAGACAAAATCAATAAAATATTAATGAAAATACTCGGGTCATTCATTAAAAATAGGTATACAATCAATGTTCTTTTACCTTATAGTAATGTGAATAATTCTGATTAAGAATAATAGTTAAATGAAATATAATATTAAATCTTAAATAACTAAATTTAGTAGATCATATTGACATTCTAATCAAGACTGCTATTTAATGAAATATCTATGACAACTGAGAACAAGGTTGCGCTTAACAAAGTAATTTCTGGGAATCCTCGTTAATTGAGGTTTGATTATTTATTAGGATTTATACAAAAACCGACTTTAAAAAAACCGGTTATCTAATTTCAACTTTTCTATAAAACTGGTTTAAACCGGTATTTATCACAAAATAATATTGAGAAAATTGAGAATATCATGTTATAAAACTATAACAAAATAAAATTTACAGAAAAAAGGACTTCTAACAACATTTTTTACCATTTTGGACAGGACGAAGTCGCTTCTTCAGTTTCTGGAATATATTAATGAATTGATTTATGCATAGCATTTTCTAATGCTATTATTTAGAAGTCAATATAATATTTAACAATATTTCCGTTTTATGCCAGAGGCGATTTTGTGTCAAAATGTTTATGTTTTTAATCAAATAATTCATTCATTTTTTTATTTTAAGTATAGGTTCAAAATATAGATTTTTTTTTCAGAAAAAACCCTACTGTATAGCAGAACGGATGAAACTAAACAGACAATTGTAATAAGTACCAACTTAAATAAATTTATTTTACTAATAATGCCTTTGCGATATGTTCAAAATGAAACAGATTTAATTATTATTGTATTTTTTTTAATCTAAGGTAGTTATCGTCCGCTACTGACTGAAAAGATGTCAAAAATAATGTAAAAATAATTAATAAGAAATTCTTACCATAGAAAGAATGGAAGCCAGCATGCGAGGAAAGCGGACACGATGATGCCCAGTGTTCGAGCGGCCTTCCTTTCCCTCTTCATCTTGCTGGTGCCTGGATCCGTTTTCACTTCAGCTAGATCTGCATCAACGGATTGCCTCAAGGAGGTGAGTCCAGCCGAAATTCCATTGATTTGCAGGTGCTTGTTCAGAAGGGCTGCCGCCACTTTACTCCTGAAAACGGTTCGAAATGATCAGTATTCCAAAACCGAAACCAAACTGAGCAACCTGATTTAATTAAATTACTTAATACACATTTCTCGTTCGAGAACTCCGACGGAGAAACAGGAATGTGCGGTATTGCAATTTTCGCGCCCGCCAATTGAAAGGATGAGAAGGAAGGGTGAGGGAATTGACCGAGTTTTCTCCGTTCCCAATTGCCATCCGATGGTCGGACGGGGCCAAGAAAAATAGTTAATTGCCTTCGCTCGCCTTTCATTTCTCACTCTTAACCTCGACGGAGGCTTTCCGTCGTAATAAGTTGGATTGACTTTGGACGAAGCAGGAAAGTTGGCTGTAGGGTAGACCCAGATGATATATATATCTATATAGATGTATAAAACTGGTGGCGAATTACAGGCTCGCATCAGCGGCAAAACTAAAAGTGGGTAGTTTGGAAAATGAAACGAAATAGGGATCTTCTCCTTCTTCGTCGTCGTCGTCATCATCTTGTGAACGCGTGTCTGTTTGTGTGGAAAAAGGATCCCCATTCTCTCGCAGAAGCTATTTTTAGAAACGGTTCTAAAGCCCGACTCTAAATCATTTTCGCGGCAGACGTATATTCTTGCACGGCCGTCAAATGTGAAAACGTCTCTCGGATTACCACCGAGGACGACTATCTAAATTCATCATCCTCTGTCTCTCTCACTCTTTCAATGTATTTAGCCAATGATGAATACTCGCCCGGCGCATCCAACATCCACGTCTTAGGTATCGCACTAAGCCCTCTGGATCATTACAATTTAAACACGTACTCAAACTCAATTAATTTCTCTTTAATGTTCTCTACTCACGTTGTTACATACGTCCTGTGAGACTAAGCTGTAGTGCATAAAAGGAGTGTAATAGCAATTGCAGATTCTCGTGTAATCGCTGTCAAATTTTATGAGTGGCTTTTCTAAATGACTTTGCTACATTAGAGGATTTGTGAATTTTCAGTACATCTAAGACGATTTTGCAATACGTAAAGTAATTGAAAAAAAGTATACTTACGTTCAATGAGCTAAGTGATGTTGTTTATAGTTTAAAAGCAGTTTAATTATTTTAATCATATTAAAAAATATAATAAAATTATATAAAAAATAGCAATATTTGAAATGTTATATTATTAATTTGAAAATAATGTGAATTTTAAAATATATATGTTTTTATCTATTTAAAAAAGTAAATTGTAATTCGAAAATTAATGCAAAATTAATAATTTGTAGATTATTTTTGAGTAGATACAATATGCAAAGATAAATTAAATATATTGGATTTCAAGCAACATCAAAGTATCTTTAAGTTGAAGTTTGTAGAGAGAAACAGTGAGAAGATTATAATAATAAAAATATTGCATTAGTTCTGTGCAATGCAAATAAGTAAAAATAAAATAAATATTTGTCGTTTCAATAAAATACCCTTTAAGTTTGCAGTTTTTAAACAATATTAAAAAAAATGTGAGAAGTATGTAGTTTTAGAAATACTTTTTAGAACATTACAGTAGAATTTCGAATACTTGAAAATAGGATAATTAAAATAATAACACATAAGTTTCGCTTTTCTTTCCACTTTCCACTTATGTCATATCTTACGTATAGTTATTGTGATGTTATTTTTTTTTTTATCTATATTTCATGTTTTTTTTATATATATATATATATTTTTTTTTTAAATTTGTAGTTGTTGGTTGGTTGTTATAGGTTAACTTCAGTAGTATATTCATGCTCTGAGATTCCACTGTTTCCTTTCACTGTGAATCTGCGCCCTACAATAATTCTTGTGGAGAAAATAGTTTCGCTTTTCGAAAAATTTAATTTTCGACTAGCCTTAAGGATTAAATTAATATCCCATTGTATTAGTAGCGTTATAACAATATCTAAGAATATGTATTGTTATGCGAAATATTCAGTTTTTAAAAGAAATTATATTAATGTTTCAAATTTTAAGATTTTTATATTAAGATGCAAAGTATATATTTTTTTCAAAGAAATTATGTGATCTTAAAATTTTATTAAGGAATTTTTATTAACGTGTGTAGAATTTAATTTTGAAATTTAGATTTTCATGATCAAAAACGAGGTCACTGCAATTCATAGTTAGGTCTATAACTATAAAATTGCGTTAAAATGTAATATTGAGATTTGCTAAGAACATTATATTAAATTATAAGATTTATTTATAAGAAAAATAAATTATTAAACGCTAAAACATAATCAATGAATATTTTTAACGCATACATTTTCAAATATCGATGTTCAAAAACCTCAACTTCACACCATCAAGTATCAAGGAAATTATGTGAAAGCATACAATATTAAGGCTTTATTAAGAAAATTAAATTCAAGTATGTAATGTTACAACATTCTCTAAGAACTTTTATTACAGTATGTATAATTTATTTACATAATTATATTAATGTTTGAAATTTCATGATTTTATCTATGAAATGCGTTTATGCGTTCAATTTTATTACTTAATCTAAGAAATTATGATAATCGTTTTACTGTTAAGATTTTATCTATGAAATTATATTAATTTGTAGAATGTTAATCTAAGAAATAATTTTAATATTTTTAGTCTTAACATTTAATCTATTAATTAATTATGTTAATATGCATAGTTACGATTTGTTATACAGTAAAATGTTCTCCTCCTCTGTATAAATCTATCAGTACCAAGTTAATATATAAATGTACTGATCACCAATCCATATCTTTTTCCATGACATTGATTACTTAACTGTCATGAACTTAAAAACTTAAAATACTCTAGCATTATATTTCAATATTTAAATTAATATTGAGCGCACAGGAAATGATTACAGTGACACTGTTATATAAAGCTATTAAAACTTTGTAACTCTCTGATGGAATATACAAAATAACCCTGACATAGTTACTGTCTATTAATAAACAAGCAAAGTAAATAGATTTAATTTTCCAAGCAACACAGAGAGAGCGGATTTTATGCAAATTATTTGTATACAGCAAATAGCTCAGATAGTCCGGATTCACTGTAATCCAGTTTAGAATCGTTCAAAACAAATACAATTTTAATTGAGCAATATACAAATAAATTGTAAAAACATAAGTATACAATTTTTTCCTCCGATTAATCCGGTTTCAAACTGTCTGCGATATTGACAGAATTGACTGACATAACAGACCGGTTTCAACATTAGACCGGTTTCATAGAGTCCGGGATATTGCCAGAAATAATTATTCGGACTATGCGAGGAATTGCTATATTTAATTCATCAATTAGTCTGCTTTCAGATAATGCAATATATTGACAGAATGAAAATTATTCGGAATTTCTATATTTAGTTTCTCAATTTCACCGGTTTCAGACAATAATTGATATTGACAGAAATAATTATTTGAACTATGCGAGGAATTGCTGTATTTGATTCTTGGATTAGTACACTTTCAAACAGTACTGGATGTTGACAGATTGATGATTATTCGGACTATGTGAGGAATTGCTGTTTTAGTTTTGACAGAAACAAGTATTCGGACTATGCTAGGTATTGCTGCGTTTAGTTCATCGATTAGTCCGCTTTTAGATAGTCTTTTAGATAATCGGGGATATTGATACAATCAATTATTCGGACTATGTGATGTATTGCTGTCTTAGTCTGGTTTCAAACAGTCCGAGATATTGAGAGAAACGATTATCCGGACTATGCAAGGTAATTATGTATTTAGTTCTTCGATTAGACCGGTTTCAGACAGTTTGAGATATTTACATAAACAATTATTCAAATAATGCGAGGTATAGCTGTATTTAGTTCCTCGATTAGTCCGCTTTCAGATAGTCCGGGATATTAACAGATTGACGATTATCCGGGCTATGTAAGGTATTGCTGTATTTAGTTCCTCGATTAGACAGATTTCAGACAGTCCAGAATGTTGACAGAGATATAATTACCCGGACTTTATTTAGTTCCTTCAAACAGTCAGGGATGTTGAAAACATCGATTATCCGTACTGTGTCTGATAGACGGTTTCAAATAGTCCAGTATATTGGCGGAATTGATAACCCGGACTATGCGAGGTAATTTCCAAATTAAGAATAGATTAATGTTATAAATCTTAATATAGGAGAAGAAAAAACAATTAATGTTTAATAATAAACAGAATTAAATTGTGTGGAACAGAAGGGACTAAGTAATTGATGGATCGAGGAGCCCAGGGAAAAAATACAACCGTGCATCGACAGAGATAAATCATTTACGTAACAATAATAATTTCCAAATGGACGTAGCACGCAAGAAAATAAAATAGAAAGAATATATATATTTCGAATTCAAGTCTTTCGTTTCCATGGGAATTCGTATCAACTCCTTCTCGCTCCCTCTTGTTCTCGCTTCTTCTCACTATGCATCCTTCTGAGAGATCGAAAAGGTATAAAGTGTGTTCTCTTCTGCTCTCTATGTGAAAAACAGAGATGAGATGGAGGATGGAGAATTGGGATAGGAGCTAATAAGAAAGTGCCGGGCGTAAAAAGAAATCGAGTTATCCTCGCTCCTTCGCAGGCAGCAAACATAATTAATACCGAAGTTGCTTTCTAAGTGAAATTATTAAAGCCTCAGATGGCCAGCCGTGCGACATCTCAAAATCAATGCACGCTCCGCCTCAATTAAATCTCAGCTGGAAAATTGGTGGTAAATCAAGCTCAACAGGATAAAAGCGGACAAAGATTATGAAGACGACCTGGACAAGATGTAACATTAATTTAAATAGGTTTGTAACCTAAAATTGTTATATTGTTAAATATTGTTTGTACATTTTCATCAACAAATTGATTTAATTATAAAAATAAAAATAGTTTGTTATGATTAGTGTTTAGTAAGTATTTTCTTTACGTATAAATTGGAAATAAATATTTTTTATTGTTTTATTTAAATAAAATAAATACAGTAAACAGAAATAAATATATAAGAATTTTAATTACTCCGGTTTCAAACAGTC